CCTGTTGGCTAAATAAAGAAATAAAGTTTACTTACAGAAAATATTTGACCTGGGGATGTGTGAATTAGACTTTAGAGGAGTAGTGGAATTTCATTTCGAAACTGTTGGTTGCATTGTCGGTTGTTTGACTACGGCGATATGTATTAAGATTAAAAAGTCCTTAACTTGAACATATATTAATATCTTAATTGAATATGAAAGTGAAGAATGATCATCGCAGTAAACTTTCCAATTTAAGCAACTGGAAAGAAGAAGCCTGAAAAAAAAAATTAGGGCTTCAACGGGATTCGAACCCGTGACCTCCGCGTTGCCGGTGCGTTGCTCTACCAACTGAGCTATGAAGCCACACAATGGGAGCGAGGTCAATTTATTGAGTTCGTATCTCCCGTGAAGAGTGAAATGATGTAAAGTATATATGAAAAAAAATGAATTATTTCATATATACTTTACATCATTAATTGAATATATTTACATTAATCTTGCCTGCGCTCCTATGCTAAGTAATGGAGAAATCTGGCGGCCTCTTCCGAGTGTCGGATAAAGGCCCGAGAAACTATGGGCTGGGATGGGGTGGGAATAAAGAAAAACAAACCATCCAAAAGAGGTGCCATGAAGTGGAGAGCGGGCAAGGCGAGGTGCCTGGCCATAACAAAAACCTGTGTGTCTTGTCTCGAAGATGATAATGAATGCATGGTGTATGTGTCTTATATAGTCGCTTGGGCAAGACCGCTGTAAATAGTATCCTATTTACATCAATCTTGCCCACACTCCTATGCTACGTGACGGAGAAATCTGGCGGCCAACGTACGAATAATACTTTCCGAGATATCGCACTTGTACAAAAGGAAGACAACACCCCACACACCCAAACTCAAAACCCCCGGCCTTAATACCCACACTAAGGAAAACGCTCGACAGACTCAGGAAACAAAATTGCCGCGAAACAACTTCTGCTCTGGAGCCACAAAACATATTAACAAGACCAGGGAGCAATAAATCTAGCACAAATGAGTCCCCATAACTAAATAAAACACTCGACAGAGACAGGTAAAAAAAATTCCTTTGGAAACGACTTCTGCAGGAGCCACAATTCCCAAAATAAATTGTAAACAAGACCTGGGGGTAATAAAGTTTATAGAAATTAAGCCCGTGGTTCTAAACACACGCTCGACAGAGTCAGGTAACAAAAATTGCCGTAAAACAACTTCTGCTCTGGAGCCACAAAACACAGTGTAAACAAGACCAGGGCGTGAAAATTTCAGCGAAATTAAGCCCCTGGTTCTAACACACGCTCGACAGAATCAGGTAACAAAATTTGCCGTAAAACAACTTCTGCTCTGGAGCCACAAAACTCAGTGTAAACGAGACCAGGGCGTGAAAATTTTAGCGAAATTAAGCCCCGGGTTCTAACACACGCTCAACAGAGTCAGGTAACAAAAATTGGCCGTAAAACAACTTCTGCTCTGGAGCCACAAAACACATTTATTTAGAACAAAAAACCTGTGGGTTTTGCTAAAAACAACAACGAAAGCATAAGCCAAACAATAGCTCAGACATGAGAATGCAGTAACTTATAATAACACGTATCTTAGACCCTGTTTACATGGAGTGGGGGACCCCGGCCTAGTGGGGTAGGTTTCTTTTGTTTTGTGTCCTCCAGAGCGTGAAAACAAAAGAAACCAACCCCACTAGACCGGGGTCCCCCACTCCATGTAAACAGGCCCTTAAAAAACCCAACGGGAATAGCAGCATGCTAGTAAATCAAATTCATGCACTGACTCTGCATGAATAAACTAGGAAGCACGAAAACTAAACATCATAGGACAAAATAGGCATATGAAACGGAAAAACTGAAAACCCCGCATGCGGAAATAAGAAACCGCGGACACAGTGCGAGAACTGAACAAGAACTGACTGCTGCTACCCCACAGCTAGAACCGCTCAATGAGATTGGAAAAAAACCGAAGCCAGGGAATGTGCCACTCACAGGATCTATCAAAAGGAAATGCTTTAAGCTAGGGAATGGTTTACGCCGGTTTCCAGTGGATAAAGCAATTGGTTTCTCCAATACTTATTCACTAGATAGTGCTTTATTCGATTCGAGCACTTACTTTGTGAAATTAACAAGAGCTCTTTTAGTTACTTTATGTAATTAATGTAATACTGTATATTGTTTAAGGGCGGGAGTCATTGGGACGACCCATACATCCCCGCATGTAAAAAGGATAATAATTACAGTGGAACCCCGCTCTACGGACACTCGCTTAATACGGACACCTGCTTTATACGGACAGTTTCGTTTGTCCCGACAAAAAGCTCATATATTTTCTCTAAAATCAACCCGCTTTATACGGACACCAGTTGAAGGGACGGCAAAACCAAAGCTATTTTGTCTTTGCTGTGAAGTATTTGGTTTTGCCGTGAGGTAGAAGAAGCGTTTTCTAGAACGGGGTATAATATTTCGAACGCACGAAACCTCTAGTTTTGTAAGCAGCCATTTGAAATTATTTAAGGACAGATTACTTTTGAAAACACGGTTCAATGCGTTAACAAGCAAACTGTTGTACCCTTGTTGCACCCTGTGTTTTAGCGTGCAGGGCGGGCGTATTTTGGCGCGAGCGTATTTCTAGAACGGGGTATAAAAAATTGGCCCATTTCTAGAACGGGCTATCAATTTTAAGGGACTTTTTTTTTTAGAACGGTGTGCCAATTTGGACTCCCGGGCGGCACATACCCGCCAAAAAAATACCCAAGTGCCCCCCCTCCGGGGGGGATAATGAATGCATGGTGTATGTGTCTTATATCGTCGCTTGGGCAAGACCGCTGTAATAGCAAATCTATAATAAAAGATGTTTTATAGGTTACGTTCTACAGTTCAGCTTACCTTTCTTAAATTTGGGAAATACTTCCACCTCTACATCATGATTAACCAGCACAGACAGGGGTAGTATTTGGTCTAAGACTGCCCAAAATGACCGCAAAACAGCTTGATTGGGTGATCACCGTATTTGGATCAGAACCAAATACGTCGTACGCAATTTTTTTGAAACAAAACAGTCAAGCGATTCACGATCCTCTGCTTGAGCGGGTGGAATTTCAGTGAAACTTCGATTTTCTGTAAGTATGGTCTAGTAAAGCTTTATGTAACCACATAATGCAAGTACACTCTCGCAACTGACAATACTTGCTAGAATAACATTCCTCTCACAGATAGGCGGTGGAATTTTATAGAAGAAGTGAAAACTCTACTTCTAGTTTTATATTTATTGCTAATCTGAGTTCCTGAATATGTCCGTTATGACGAAAAGAAGCTTCTTTATGGTCATAGAATTTTAAATTGATCAAACATTACTAGATAAGCATTTATACATCATTCTTAACACTACCTGGAGCTGATCAAATAAGCTCATATTTACCTGTTTACGGGAATGTTTATTTTTAAACCCACCAATGTGGTGTTAGGGGTCGGTTCATGTCGGCCCCAGCAGGCAATCTCGCTTCAATCGTCTCACTTGTTTTTTCTATGATAAATGTGACGACTCTCTGTGATAGCATTTTTAACTGGAGGAAAGGACTGTAACCTGAGAATTCGGTGTTTCTGTAGGAAACGAAGAGAGAAGTGAAAAGGAAGAGAGCGGAACGAAACAAAAAGCCTTTCTGTCAGTATATTGAGTCTCTATTCCCCCTAGCCTTCCACGCAGACGTTCTTTTAATAGGGGTTCGTCACGCGTTGCTGCCCCCTGCCCACCCCTCAAACCCCTTAGAACGTCTGCGTGGGAGGCTATATTCTTACTCCCTCGCTCCGTCATCTAAAATTTCCTCTCCTGTCACTGCTGATACTCAGGTTAAAAGGACTAGGAAGAAAATTCATTTTGACGAGGGAAGGTCTTGTAATGTCCAGAAGGAGGCGGTTTCTGAGCACATAGGAACTGGTTTTCTAGTTTGGAGGTTCTTCAGGAGCGAGACGTCCATGAAGATCAGCTGAAATACATAAAACTGAAAGAAAAGCAAGATTTGAAATGACATGAAACTTTTTTATGGTTAATATCAATTTGCATTTTTGACGGTTGACGTTAAATTTTAGGCCTTTTGACGGCTGACGGTTATAATCCCACTGAGACCCTCTTTTAATATAATAAATGCTACATGTAGCATGACAAGAAGACTTCCTGTTAGAACGTACTGTGAAAAGGCACCACTATTTTTCAGCGGTAAGAAAAAGGGGATCCTATGGTGGCACACAAGTGTCACGGCAAAACCAAAAACCTCGCGACAAAACCAAAATACCTGAGGGCAAAACCAAAAACCTCACGGCAAAAACAAAATACCTCACGGCAAAACCAAATACTTCACAGCAAAAGCAAAATAGCTTTGGTTTTGCCGTGAGTATTTGCTTTTGCCGTGAGGTATTTGATTTTTGCTGTGAAGTATTTGGTTTTGCCGTGAGGTCTTTGCCTTTGCCGTGAGGATTTTGGTTTTGCCGTGCGGTCTTCGGTTTTGCCGTGAGGTTTTCGGTTTTGCCGTCAGGTATTTTGGTTTTGTCGCGAGGTTTTTGGTTTTGCCGTGACAGTTGTGGGCCACCGTAGGATCCTAATCTGTCAAAAATGGTATATAAAGGGGGAAGAATTGGATCTCGGGGCGGAGTTTCCCCGTATAAAATTTTGAGGAGTAACGTAGGAGTAGGCTGCCCCGTCCCCCTGGGAGAGGACTTCTTGCTAGGTGTAAGCACGGTTTCATGCCGGAGTTTTCATTGTCTTTGCAGCTTCACTCTTTCCTTCTCGCTCACCGACAACAAAGCCCTTGCTAGTATCACTGAAATTTGTCCATACAAAAGGGAGGCAAATCCCGTATTCCAACAAAACAACCAAACCAATAAACAAAACAGCTTTCATCCCCAGTTTCTCTTTACTGAATACAACTGAACGTACTGCAGTCATCTAAAACTATTCAATTGTCGTTTCTTTATAGGGGTAACTGTAGGCCATTTATAAGTGCTTACCATGCGGTCAATCTGCCTTCTTTTCCTTCAAGCTGTGTTCATTGGTTTTGCTCGACACACCAAAGTAACTGCGAAGAGGCATTGCCCTAAGTTTACTTCTTGTATTGACAGCTATGCTGACATTTATAAATCCCTAGCATCAGAGGAGAACAGTTTCAACATTGAATCTGCGCTGTATCCAGCAATGACGCCAAAATCACTTGTCATCAAAGTAGAGTTCATCAAACACAATGAAACATCGGTGGAAAATTACACTTGGAGTTTAAACTGTTTATATGTTGCTATTCCCCCTGAAGTCCTCCAACTCTTGTCGCTTGGCTCAGTTCTTGTTACACCACGCACACAAGAGCTGAAAATCTGCATCCCCCACTTCTGTAGAAATATTTCATCGACCAATATTTCATCGACCAAGGAGCAGAAAGACCTCATGAAAGGTGTTCTCTCTGCGGTACGCAGCTGTATGCCTACTATTCCGTTTTAGTAAAATCCAACTAGTGGTCTATTATCAATGCTGCGTTCTGATTGGTTGAGCTACTACTAGGCTATATGTTATAGCCCACTAGTAGCGAAAAGCGCGGGCTTTTTGGCGGCAAAAAAGGATTAAGGTCTAGCTTTAAGTAGCTAAATTTTTTTTATTCTCGATATTTTTGACCAACTGGTTGGATTTTACTAAAACAATTATTCCTCTCTCTCTCCCATTCGGCCTTCGGCCTCATGTGCTATTGACTCAGAGCCCATTTGGGCTCGAGGAATAATTGTTACATAGCTTACACTAATTACTGGAGTTACAGAGAAACCGAGATTATACAATTAAAAGAGAATTAATCAAAGTCATAAAGAACCCATACTCTTACGCGAAATTCTAACATTTTAGGACCAACACCACGAGGAATTATTGTTGGAGCAAGAATTTATAAAATCCAGTCTAGACTTGTAAAAGTTTTACAAAGGCAGAGATGTAGATTTTATGTCGCACTTCAGAAGTGAGTCAAACAAGTTTTGACACTTTTTTTTTAATTTAAGAAAAGAGTCGTATAACTCCCTTATTACAAAATGATAACAAAATCTATGAATCACCTTGTTCAGTCATTAAAATGAAAATAAGGGTGTTTTTTGCAAAGTATCAGTGTTGCTAGAGAAACCACTAAGGTCTAGACTGACCATAAATTGTTCTCCAATTTTAAACTGGTTGTTGAATATTTTATTGTTGCATTAACTGGTAAAAAAAAGTTGTAATATGTGTTGATAATAAAAAGTGTTTGTTCAACTAGTTCGGTCTCTATCGTATTATGCGAATACTGATCGCATTAAACATATTTCTTTATCACAGCTTCAAGATCTGGCCGTGCGTCCAGGAGTACGGGATCCAAGACTTAACACAGCAGAGTGCGTTATAGAGGGACATGAAACAGACATAATGGCTACAGGACCTCGAAGTTCGTACATAAGAGCAATTTTATGGTGTGCATTTATTTTTTCTTTCTGGGCTGGTCCTTATTTAGCGGAAATTATTTTGGGTGTGATAGAACAGAGATCCCAAAGTCCCCAAAGTGCTATGGAACTCCGTGAGTCCCAGGCTCCCACTTCCCTGGTCCCGGGAGAAAATATTTCGGAGCCCGCCCTGATAAGGGCAGTAGTTTGCGTATGTTGTTTATTGCTTTGTGTAGAACTTATAATATTAGTCTTTATATTCAAATTTTCTGTATCAGGAAATGCCCCAATTGATGTTTACATATATATTGGGATCCTTATTTTGGAAGGTGTGATACTAACTTGCCTAAAAAAACGCCTTTCGAAAAGAGTGTTTATATTAACATTTTGTTTAATCTTTACATCTCATCATTTTTGTTGGCTGGTGATCGGCATTATGATTAATCCAGTGTGGGGACTAACGGTTTTACTCCTAGCTTGCTTTTCTGTCGTCTTGTTAACTTTCCTACTCTGCCAGATTTTTGAGGGAGGCAATTTCAAATGCAGTCCAGGCGACATCATGCAAATCATTGTATGTGGTATTACCTTTTGCGGTGGTTTCTCGCTTGTTGCGTCAGCAGTTTTAGCGGGACAGTCGTTTTATGGAAGGGGGACTGCGGACGAGCTGGTGAAAACCGTACTGTTGTCTGTTATCAGCGTTGGTACTTCACTGTTGTCTTGGCTGAGTAAAAACCATTAGAAAAAAGAGGAAAATGCTACTCAATAACTCTAAAACATAAAATAGAGGAATATTTCCAAGCAGATAGCGCCGTCCGTTCTGCCAGCCTGTGAGCAAGCTCTCCATTTTGCCACAGTTAGAGGAGTGGCGAAAATTCACGCGCGGCTTCGCGGCTTGCTTCGCTTGCTACAAATGGAGAGCTTACTCCGGCGATTCGGGGCTTCCGTTCTGCGCATCTTGAGTAGCCCTAGGAAACTCGGATATTTAGATGATGCTTCCTCTTTTTACAAAGCATGTCCACTCAGCAAGAAGCAAAGATTAATGACATCCAAATACAGTCGAAACCTCCGTAAGCGACCAACCAAAGCGCAAACCTTCACTGAAGGGTCTCTTCAAGGAATAGGTACCGAACACTTCAAAGACAATTTATCGAATACAATATTTTGGAAGTTACAAACGTGCAGTATCATTCTGTAACTTACTCTAGGTAGTGATAGTAACATCACCTGCGAAAACATAGATCGGATCTCTCGACAAGTGGTTACTAGCGATAAAAAGCAATGGAACTGTCGCGGTCGTTTACAAGAGGCACCAAGTACAGACGTTTAAACACGAAAATTATGGTGTTTTGTGGTCGTTTACATAGGTCGTCGAACACAGGGGTAACGGTGAACTTTTTAGAGATAACCTACTTGAATCTTTTTCAGTTTATGGCGAATCAACCTAAGAGGTTAATGGAAAAAAGACTTTATAAATAACTTGATTTGAGTAGTCTTACTTTAATAACCTGTCTTAGAGTGGTTTTTGTTTGAGTGTCGTAAAACCAAAACCAAAGTAATTACTCTGGCCAATCACATAGGACACAGACAATACATTGAACCAATCAAAACTCGAAGTAATTACATGTGGCTGACGCAAAGCGCGGGAAAATGCATGCGAGCGCGTCACAATTGACTTTGGTTTTACTTCTGATTGGATGAAAAGGTGGCGCGAATCTTTTAAGCCAATCGTATCGTGTAGAAAGTGCAAAACCAATTACTTTTCGACACTCAAATGAAAACCGCTCTATTTATGAAACAATTACTTACTGCCACAAAGCTTGTGTCTTTGATCACTGTATAGATCTGAAAAAGAACGGGCAATTATTTTAACATGGGTTATGAACCTGTTTAAAGGGTAAATTTTGGACTTAATCATAAAAATTTTTAGCATTTTTTCTAATATTGTCTTTATTAGTTTGTCAGGCGGAGATCCAAACTGGTTTTCACCGAGACAACAGGCGCACAATTAAACGTTTTATACAATACACGTGAAAATAACAGACACTTCCTGAAGTTGAAATTTTCAGAGTTTTCAACCTTTGTAAGGGAGTGTGCATTAGAACAGGGGAAAGTCTCTTTTTAGTTTATATCGTAACTGCATGTTATAGACACGTTGACAGATTCTTAATGTGATTAATAGTTTGTATTAGCTAGTAGAAGGAAAATAAAGGTTATACTTTATTTGTGCTGGTTCTTTGAACTTTAATTTTACTTATGCTCGGCATCACTGTTGATAGTTTCTCTGAACCCGAACTGGGCGCTCGGGGGGTGGGGAGGGGGGTGGGTTTAGTCAAAAAGGTTTCATACGGGCAGGCTCCGCCCCAAAGGCTAATAGTCCATCAGCTGGGAGCCGAAAATTTGGGTTTATGGCTCACTCGAGGGGAACAGGCGAAATATGTCACGTATTAATCTTTGACTAGTAAGCATCACAAAAATGCATGATAGCAAGGACAAAACGGTAGCTTTCACTTTGAAAATCGAAATTTAAATTTGCCCCTTATAATCTCCTTTTGGCCGCCATCTTGAATTTCGGGGAAGGCTGAAAAGTTGCTCATATTCTTTTAACGTAAACAAATCTTGTTTTAGCGTAGATTTAAAACAAATTTGAACTAAAAACATGACTTCCGTTTATTTTAGTGCTTAAATTATAACTACCTGACGTCCTATGCGAATCAACATCGCCCGTTACTGCAGTCTCTCAATAAGACCGGCAGTTCGCAATTTGTCAACTAGAAAAAATGTAAGAGTTAAAAAAAATTGTTTCCGAAAAGAGTAAGTAAATGAATCATATTTTTGCATTGCAAGTGTATTGTAACGAATAGAGTCAGGCTCTTCTTGAAAACAACTTCTTAGTGGAGAACCTTATCCAGTCACGCCTTAACTACCAGAATCAGTTTCAGAGGTTTCAGCTGAATATGAATTCCCCGCAAAAATCAAAATCAATGTAATGGCCGAAGTAAGTTCACCAACGAGAGAGAATTGCGACTCGGTAAGCTTGTCCACACAGAAGTGAGTGATGACTGACTGCCCTCCACGGCAAGAGAAAGCAGCCAGCGAATGACTTTGTAATGAGCCGCTTTCTTTGATCCAGTGAAGAAAGCCAACGAAGATGAAGGCTGTGCATAAGGTTCGCAACAAGGATCTAGTACGTACTTCCTCTTGTGCTTGGATGGCACTTCTGGGACAGTTCCGGGAAGCCGAGAACATAACCGGCAGTTTCGATAGCTGGAGCTACGTTCCATGTGGTTGAGGAGGGAGGCACTCCCTTATTTGGCTTATACGGGTCAGGTATGTGCTGCTGAACACAAGGTCTTGAGTATTAACCAGCGTGTAGAATTATATTATTTTAATAGTAAAAATCTAAGTATTTATTTTATTATTTTAATAGTAAAATTCTATTTTCATAGTAAATTCGCTTAAAAGCGTCGTGAACAGTGTCTTTTTGGGCTGGAAGCCTTGAAAAGACTGTAAAGGCTAGCGATGGGCAGTTTACATTTGCAATACCATAATTTTTCTCTAAAGTTTCTATTTCCGTGATGTTAGTTTGAAAAAGTATTTGATTCTTTATGTCAAACAAAACAAAAAAAATAAATCAATGTCACAATCTTAAACAGTGTCGAGGTTTGAAGGTCTAGGCGGCACAGCTCTTTTAAGACTTACTTAGCAACAACACCACAAAATGTTTCCAGCGATATCTCGTCGGTTTTGGATATTCTGACTAATCCTAACAACGTTACACTCACAGAAAAGGTAACATTTTAAGGAAAAATCCACTGCAAATGTGCCGGTTTATCTGCTACTCTTTGAAGATTAAATTTTTTCCTTTCGTTAAAAGTTGGATAGCCACAATCCTATAAACAAAGACGATAAAGTGGGCAAAAAACTGCTAATATAGAAGAAAGGCAAAGAAAAAAAGAGAGCGATAGAGAAAGATCGAAATAGATTCGCAAATAAAAAGTCAAAAATTTTGGATTGTGCGTATGCCTGAAAAACAAAAAAGCTGTTTAATTACGCGATTAGTCGGAAAATATGCCTTTGTTTGATGCAAAATTCATTTTTAGCTATTCTTTTAGCCGTGCTAATTAGTTGAAAACCAGTCCCAAAGAAAAGGAATTGGTGAAAAATGCTTTTTTTTCGCTACTCGCCAGCCGTCACCAAAGGGTTAAAGAAAGTTACCAATTTGTTTCAAATTGGCCTTTTTCCTCATAAAAAAGTCAAATTTGCCCATTTCAGTACAAAACAGGTTTGCAATGTGAAAAAGAACTTCCAACGTTTAATTAATGTTAATAGCAATTTTCTTATTTAGATGATTGAGATATCAGTTGAATAGGCTAATTTCAAAAGCAAAATGGCGGTCACTGTGACGTCATATACGACGTCATCATATCTTGACTAACCTTAACAATGCTAAAATAATATCTCAGATACCTGGTAGTTCAAATCTGCTTTAAAAAAATTGTGTGTTTAAATTAAGAGGGAATCAAAGGTTTGTTTATAAATCCAAGATGGCGACCAAAATGAGGGTTTAAGTTGGAAATTTAAAATTCGATTTACAAAGTGAAAACTACCGTTCTATCCTTGCTATCATGCATTTTTGTGACGCTTTTTACTCAAAGATTTAGATTATACATGTTTTGTTTGTTCCCCTTAAGTGAGCCATACAACCCCCCTAGCTGACGGACTATAACCCCTCACTGTTTTATACACCACTTTTGACAGAGAAGGTACCCGTTTTTTATACCTTTTATTGACAAAATGATACCTCTCTTACATACATAGTAACGAGTACCTACTACCTAGACCGCAATCACAGACTCCCTCACCTTTCATATACTTCAATTAGTGAAATCCCTACCCTTCATTATGTTTTTCAGAGTTTTCAACCTTTGTAAGGGAGTGTGCATTAGAACAGGGGAAAGTCTCTTTTTAGTTTATATCGTAACTGCATGTTATAGACACGTTGACAGATTCTTAATGTGATTAATAGTTTGTATTAGCTAGTAGAAGGAAAATAAAGGTTATACTTTATTTGTGCTGGTTCTTTGAACTTTAATTTTACTTATGCTCGGCATCACTGTTGATAGTTTCTCTGAACCCGAACTGGGCGCTCGGGGGGTGGGGAGGGGGGTGGGTTTAGTCAAAAAGGTTTCATACGGGCAGGCTCCGCCCCAAAGGCTAATAGTCCATCAGCTGGGAGCCGAAAATTTGGGTTTATGGCTCACTCGAGGGGAACAGGCGAAATATGTCACGTATTAATCTTTGACTAGTAAGCATCACAAAAATGCATGATAGCAAGGACAAAACGGTAGCTTTCACTTTGAAAATCGAAATTTAAATTTGCCCCTTATAATCTCCTTTTGGCCGCCATCTTGAATTTCGGGGAAGGCTGAAAAGTTGCTCATATTCTTTTAACGTAAACAAATCTTGTTTTAGCGTAGATTTAAAACAAATTTGAACTAAAAACATGACTTCCGTTTATTTTAGTGCTTAAATTATAACTACCTGACGTCCTATGCGAATCAACATCGCCCGTTACTGCAGTCTCTCAATAAGACCGGCAGTTCGCAATTTGTCAACTAGAAAAAATGTAAGAGTTAAAAAAAATTGTTTCCGAAAAGAGTAAGTAAATGAATCATATTTTTGCATTGCAAGTGTATTGTAACGAATAGAGTCAGGCTCTTCTTGAAAACAACTTCTTAGTGGAGAACCTTATCCAGTCACGCCTTAACTACCAGAATCAGTTTCAGAGGTTTCAGCTGAATATGAATTCCCCGCAAAAATCAAAATCAATGTAATGGCCGAAGTAAGTTCACCAACGAGAGAGAATTGCGACTCGGTAAGCTTGTCCACACAGAAGTGAGTGATGACTGACTGCCCTCCACGGCAAGAGAAAGCAGCCAGCGAATGACTTTGTAATGAGCCGCTTTCTTTGATCCAGTGAAGAAAGCCAACGAAGATGAAGGCTGTGCATAAGGTTCGCAACAAGGATCTAGTACGTACTTCCTCTTGTGCTTGGATGGCACTTCTGGGACAGTTCCGGGAAGCCGAGAACATAACCGGCAGTTTCGATAGCTGGAGCTACGTTCCATGTGGTTGAGGAGGGAGGCACTCCCTTATTTGGCTTATACGGGTCAGGTATGTGCTGCTGAACACAAGGTCTTGAGTATTAACCAGCGTGTAGAATTATATTATTTTAATAGTAAAAATCTAAGTATTTATTTTATTATTTTAATAGTAAAATTCTATTTTCATAGTAAATTCGCTTAAAAGCGTCGTGAACAGTGTCTTTTTGGGCTGGAAGCCTTGAAAAGACTGTAAAGGCTAGCGATGGGCAGTTTACATTTGCAATACCATAATTTTTCTCTAAAGTTTCTATTTCCGTGATGTTAGTTTGAAAAAGTATTTGATTCTTTATGTCAAACAAAACAAAAAAAATAAATCAATGTCACAATCTTAAACAGTGTCGAGGTTTGAAGGTCTAGGCGGCACAGCTCTTTTAAGACTTACTTAGCAACAACACCACAAAATGTTTCCAGCGATATCTCGTCGGTTTTGGATATTCTGACTAATCCTAACAACGTTACACTCACAGAAAAGGTAACATTTTAAGGAAAAATCCACTGCAAATGTGCCGGTTTATCTGCTACTCTTTGAAGATTAAATTTTTTCCTTTCGTTAAAAGTTGGATAGCCACAATCCTATAAACAAAGACGATAAAGTGGGCAAAAAACTGCTAATATAGAAGAAAGGCAAAGAAAAAAAGAGAGCGATAGAGAAAGATCGAAATAGATTCGCAAATAAAAAGTCAAAAATTTTGGATTGTGCGTATGCCTGAAAAACAAAAAAGCTGTTTAATTACGCGATTAGTCGGAAAATATGCCTTTGTTTGATGCAAAATTCATTTTTAGCTATTCTTTTAGCCGTGCTAATTAGTTGAAAACCAGTCCCAAAGAAAAGGAATTGGTGAAAAATGCTTTTTTTTCGCTACTCGCCAGCCGTCACCAAAGGGTTAAAGAAAGTTACCAATTTGTTTCAAATTGGCCTTTTTCCTCATAAAAAAGTCAAATTTGCCCATTTCAGTACAAAACAGGTTTGCAATGTGAAAAAGAACTTCCAACGTTTAATTAATGTTAATAGCAATTTTCTTATTTAGATGATTGAGATATCAGTTGAATAGGCTAATTTCAAAAGCAAAATGGCGGTCACTGTGACGTCATATACGACGTCATCATATCTTGACTAACCTTAACAATGCTAAAATAATATCTCAGATACCTGGTAGTTCAAATCTGCTTTAAAAAAATTGTGTGTTTAAATTAAGAGGGAATCAAAGGTTTGTTTATAAATCCAAGATGGCGACCAAAATGAGGGTTTAAGTTGGAAATTTAAAATTCGATTTACAAAGTGAAAACTACCGTTCTATCCTTGCTATCATGCATTTTTGTGACGCTTTTTACTCAAAGATTTAGATTATACATGTTTTGTTTGTTCCCCTTAAGTGAGCCATACAACCCCCCTAGCTGACGGACTATAACCCCTCACTGTTTTATACACCACTTTTGACAGAGAAGGTACCCGTTTTTTATACCTTTTATTGACAAAATGATACCTCTCTTACATACATAGTAACGAGTACCTACTACCTAGACCGCAATCACAGACTCCCTCACCTTTCATATACTTCAATTAGTGAAATCCCTACCCTTCATTATGTCTGAATTTTACTAGTGATGACCCACCCCAATCTCGACAGTCGCGTATTCCCAGGGAGCAAAGCGTGACTCTGGCCCGAGCGAGTGCGAAGGAGACTACATGGTTCCTGGCTCAAACATTCCTTAGGTGGTCTCTAGTTTAATTTGTAATGAGAAGAATAGTTTTCTCGGTGGCTTGTAAGTATAAAGGCTTACTAAAGTAAAACATCACTAAATCAGAGCTGGAAAAATAAACCTGGATTCCCGGGGCTTGTCTTGTTGTCGTGTCCGAGGCCACTTCTTGCTCGTCTTAGTTAATGATTTGTCAGAGGATGACTTGCCTGGACCCCTGCCCACTGAGTAAGTAATGAGGGGTCCGGGGGGGTCCTGACCCCCTTATCAGACCTGACGCTTGTTTGAGACTAAAATTCGTACATCGACGGGATGGTATATCACTTTTTAACTGGCTGGTTTTTTTTCATGAAACGCGCGTGGCATTTTGCCTCTTAACTGTATGTATCCCAAATTACAAGTTTTGCCGGCTTATAATTGGTTATACCCTTCCTGTTAGTGCTGCCGAAGCTGAGCGTTCATTCTCTGGATTAGGACGAATCAAGTCATATCTCAGATGACCGGTTGTCAGGACTTGCACTCATGCACTTAATTCATGATCTTAACATTGATGTTAACGAGATCTGTACAAACTTTTTTACCAAGCACAAGAGGAGGATGTTTCAAGGGTGCATCCTTTACGAGTAGAATTTAATGTTTGGATCCCCCCTCCTCCCCCAATCAAAAATTCCCGGATGCGCCCATGGTAAGTAAGCTTTAAAACTAATTACTAGCCTAGAAAGGAAATCTACCTGTCCCGGACAACTGGAAGGTACTTTTTCCAGCCCTGATTTACGTTGACTCGCTGCACACACCAACAAGATACAATTTTATCGCCAAAGATCGATTTATTCTCTTTACATTCTCCTGTCAATGAAAACCAACGAACACGTAGGAATGAGTAGCGTGCTCACAGGTCTTACAGCAATCTATGAATTATTTGTTTCCCTCCTCCATGTCTTCAACACGGTACTTGTCATGAAGACGCTGGAAAGCTGTGTCCTTGTTTGATTTTCGGTTTGACACGTTTCTTCGACCACTGACCTGTTGGCTAAATAAAGAAATAAAGTTTACTTACAGAAAATATTTGACCTGGGGATGTGTGAATTAGACTTTAGAGGAGTAGTGGAATTATACTTTGAAACTGGATGCGTGCCTGTTGGTTGCATTGTTGGTTGCATTGTTGAGTAGGGATATGTATTAGGATTATTATACTACCACATGAGAAATTTCTGCAATTTGATTGGTTTAGAGCAGTGGTAATTCAGCTTAATTTGAAATACCTACATGTGAAAATTACAAACCTTTTGTGGGTAGTAGTATAAACAAATAATAGCATGATTTTTAGTGATATTTGGCATAAATACCACTCGTGATATTTCAAAATTGTCCAAATTTCACTCGCCTAACGGCTCGTGAAATTACGTAAAACAATTTTGAAATATCACTCGTGGTATTTATGCCAAATATCACTACAAATCATGCTATTACCTATACAAAAGTCCTTTACATGAACATATATTAATAGTGACTTTCGTTGTCGGTTTCCAAGTCAGTAGTTATATTTTCTCTCGGTATAGTTCTGGCCCTGAGAAGGTCAATTTTGATAGCCGAAATATTGCCCTATAATAAATCAGCCCTTTGCCGTAGTGCCTGCCCTGCATTGAGTTTTGTTTTATTACAGTTTGTTTACGTCCTTGTCTGCCAAGGTCACGATGATAAAACTTCGCGCGTGGGCAAGGTACCGGCTGCCATACAGAGCCACACTTGCGGAGTTTTCAGGATTTCGAACCCTTAATGACAATCTCATACCCAAACGTGTGTGCATGTAACCCCTCTCGGATTACCTCTTAAGCGGCTGGAAAATGCACATTGCCAAAGCAATGAGCACACCAAGAATGCCGACGATAATCATGGAGATGTAAAAAGTCTTCAAGGAACCTTTGGGCTTCTCTTCTTTGTCTTTCTGTTTTGTTTGCTTGCTGGCGAGGACTTTAGGAAGTACTTAAGGCAGAAAGAAAACAAAAAAGTTACCATTGAACGGAGCGAAAGTTGTCTCTGTCTTGATATTATGAAGCTACTGTCTGTCGGGACCAATCTCGACCCAGATTAGTCTCCCACACAGACGTTTTTAGGGGCTCGTCACTCGTTCCTGCCCCACGAACATGGTGCAGGAACGAGTGACGAACCCCTAAGGACGTCTGCGTGGGAGGCTAGACCCAGATCTCTTCTGCGCATGATCGCGGAGTCAGAAACGGAAGCAGTGGGGACAAGAAGAAGCCAGCTGCAGACTTAATACTCTCTTGAATTTTATAAAGAAAGCCATTTCACAACACTAATTGCGTATTTCAATATTTTTTTGGAAAAATAGTTTTGCAACAAAGGCGTATCGTACTGTACTGTATGCATTAGATAATAGCCTGATCCACAATCAGTTTGGCCTCATTTAGGGGGTAAATTACATTCATAGACTGACTTTCATAGTCACCCTCCCGGGCCTACACCTCTTTTTAAATCGTACATTTCATTGTGCAGACTTTTCCATGTGATTTTCGAACAAGAGCGCAAATGTGAATCTTCAACTTGGATTTATGTGACTTGCATGTTCCTCCTACTAGAACTGGTTTCTCTGGTTTAGTGTTCATTCGAGCAAAACCTAAAAGAAAAATAAAAACCATGCTAAGCTAAATTTTATCTCGTTTTCAAATGCTGCCTTCCAATTGACACATATAAACACTATAAGTAGGTTGAGTATGATCGTCCGGGTGAACGTTGTCCTGAAAAGGACTGTTGTTGTTGACAATGACTGGCGTTTCAGTAACCTGGCGGTGGTCATCTTCAGAGTCAAAGTGAGTTTTATCACGTCAGTTGATGGTATTAATTATTGGTCAATTTATTCGCGATGTTGTTGGTCTGTCAGTTATACCGTCTTATACTTGAACCCTGTTAGGCCCAAAAATGTCTGACCGCTTAATATTCTTTCTGGGTACACCGTCATTTAAGGCGACGCACTTTCAGTCATACTCATCCTCTGAGACCCAGGTGCGGGAGAAAAGGCGCGACAAAAGTTTTCAAGCACCGGCCGAAGAGGCAGGCCCTGGGTACCGACTCGGTCACCAGACCATTTCCAAACGGTCAAGCAAATGCTGGCTCCTGACTGGGCACAAAAAAATCCTTTGCCGGTATTATTGCTCCCAATCGGCCAACAGTATCCCCCGAGTTATTTTCGTGTGTTCGTACACGAAGGCTATTTTTTCGCCATACTTGCAAAGAAATGCACGCAGTCAGGAAACTTTCAGTTTGATAAAGACACCGTCCATTTCAAAATACTGTCTAGCCGAAAACTAAAACATGGAAACGTATGTAACGGTATTTTAAAGACGCTTTTCCAAAAATATAAACTTGAGCTTACAACTAGCTTGCATCGATCACACCTTCGGTCAGAAACAGAACTTTCTCGGTGCAAATTGGAGTGGTCCTGCTGATATCATCCGAAACGTGTTCCTGAGTCATCGGTAGTTCCTTCGTTTCTTGTTAGGGAAGTAGAAAATGAAAGTTTCCCTTGCACGCACAACCTTGGTGAACGAACAATAATACAAAGGATTTTTTGTGCCCAATTATAAGCCAACATTTTCTTTACCATTTGGAAATGGTCCGGTGAGAGTCGGTACACGGGGGCTCTTTCACCTGGTCTTGAAAACTTTTGTCGTGACCTTTCTCACCCGACTGACTGCCCATGGGTTTCCGAGGATTGCTTTCAGTTAATAAACACAAAAAGGAAAACTAATAATGTATGCGTTTCGTCTGAAATATCAATTTTACATGCAGTTCTTATGCCGCTCGATGGCCTACATGAGAAAAACGAAAGTGTGCACTCTTTATTCGAGGGAAGCGCTTACTCAAGTATATAAAATATTTGAGATTTTCCAGTCCAGGCTTTTCTGTTTTGCGTCAGAGTAATTGTCCTGAATTCAAACTTACCAATGAAGTGATAAGTTTCTACATCCTTTCTAATAAAATCCAGACCTCTGATAGCCTTGTTTGCATGGTGTTCCCCACATTTTAAAGAGGCGAGGATTTTTCCCTGGGTTGCGTCGCACGTTTTGTATCCATGGTGATCAACGCTGTAGATGTCGACTGTTCCTGAATATGTCCTCAGTAAAGGAGACCCGCACTCGAAGTTTAACGTGCAATTCGTTGTCATCCAAAGTAGTTCAGCATGTTTATGTTTACTACGATAGAATTAATCAGTTCCATTCAGTTGGAGAAATGATAATAGTAAATTGCGTAATTTCTTATGTATATCGAGCGCCCAGGCTATTCTGATGACAAAACCGTGATTGTCCGGTGTTGTTCACAACTTGAAGTGGTCAGGCTTGAAAACCCCCGGTCGGATTATGACTGGCTTTTTCACGAAATACTATAATACCGTATTTATTCGATTAACCGCCCTGGGCGCTTATTAAATTTTTGGACTTTGAGAGTGGGCGCTTATTCGAGGCTGGGCGCTTATTAAAATTAATTTTCACGATTTTCAGCAAGGGAAGTATGTTTCTTTTGCAACAAAACAATGAAAGCTAATAACAAAACGCGAAGAAGTAACAAAGCAAGGTTTCTATAAAATAGTCTGAAGAAGGCTCCGTCCCCGGGAAAGTCTCTTATTAGAATTTATTCACTCAAGTGGGTGGGGTAGGGGTGAGCGCTTATTTGAGTTTGATTGGGAGGAGGAGGGGGTGGGCGCTTATTCGAGGGTGGGCGCTTATTAACTTTTTCTGCCTTTAGGGTAGGCGCTTATTCGAGGTGGGCGCTAATTCGAGGTTGGGCGCTTATTCGAATAAATACGGTACTCTTTAAAATGCAGGCCTGACCTCTATCAGGTGGGTAACATTATTCCGCAATGATATTTGCTGAAACGAGTGGCACGATGGAATTAAGGTTGTGTTTACACTATAACGGATAGGCTTTGCGCCGGCACGAAAACCATACCGGTTACGGCTTCTGTTCACACTAAGAACGGTGATTTCGGCGCGATTTTTGTAACGGGACAAGGCTGCGTCTCGCCGATTTCTAAAGTGGAGAGTCACATATCGGACAGATGTTCATGCTATACCAGGTAGCTTTTTGTGTCGGCACAAAAAACTATACAAATTGTTAACCCTTAGCATCGAAAACTCGGCACACGCAGCTCTTGTCAAGATTGTAGAGTGAGTTGAGGCTAAACCTGACTGTTAACATATTTTATTCCGGCCATATTCCGGAATAAAAATGAATGAAATAAACTCTATAAATCGCTTGCTATGGCGCTCAATGCATTGCAATCTCTGCTTGACATAAAATATTGAGAAGTAATTAATCTTCTAAATGACTGAAATGAATTGTCCACCGGGAAGACGACTCTCATAAATGATGCGTCTCACTCACAGATATTATGATCGTTACATAGTCAATCAATTCACAGATTTGACAGTCACAATATGATTTCCCTGCAGACAAATACCGTATTTATTCGATTAACCACCCGGAGCGCTTATTAAATTTTTGAACCTTGCCAGTGGGCGCTTATTCAAGGTGGGCGCTTATTAAGTTTTCACCATTTTCAGCAAGAGTAGTATGTTTATTTTGCAACAAAACGCAAAGATGTAAGAGGCAACGTTTCTGTAAAATACTCTGAAGAAAAGTCCGTCTTCTGGGAAAGTCTCTTATAGTAGTTATTCATTTTTTTTCGGGGTGGTAGGGGGAAGGGGGGTGGGGCGCTTACTTGAGTTTGAGTAGGAGAGGGAGGGGTGTGGGCTGGGCTGTGCGCTTATTAACTTTTTCTGCCTTTAGGATGGGCGCTTATTCGAGGTGGGCGCTAATTCGAAGTTGGGCGCCTATTCGATTAAATACGGTAATTTGCAATTGAAAGGAAAAGAATGCTTTTATGCATCTATAGAGGGGGGTTCGTGGGGGAACGCTAGAAAACGCTTTAAACTTCACAAGTCTGAAATAATAAGTTCTACTAGGAAAAATATTCTTTTAGAAAGTAAAAGGAACGTCTGACCTCATAAGCAGTTTTTGCCAATCAACGCTGTGAGTTTCAGACATCGCTGAAGAAGAGCAAAATATCAGCAGCGTTACAAAGCTAAGCTGCAACTGCGTCATTTTGAGGCAATATAAGTGGCAACAGAAAATTGTTCTTCGACATCTTTTTGTTGGGTCAGTCTGTTCGTCCATAAGTGATGTCATAGTCATAATCAATGGTTAATTCCTGCGTCAAGATCGAGCATTAACGCGCGCAAATGCAAATATATCTGATAGAGCAGTTATCAATTGAGCATACAATTGGCCAATAACGATGTGCGCAAAAATTTAAATAAGCTCAGCAGATTTCGACGCAGGTGTAAGTAGCCTAAATTTCAGACATTCCTTCCAGTCGCATGCTCCTCTCAGCAAAAGAGGAGTAAGCGATTCGAAGGAACGTCTGAAATTCAGTCTAAGATCTAAGTAGAACCTAATCATCAGTTGGTTATTACTCCTAAAACGGCTGCTGCAAAACCAGGGTATTCAAGGTACTTGGGAGACAACGGGCGCGTATTTCGCTAGTTATCCTAATGTACACATGGACGAGACAAAATAGGTCTTCATTTTGAAAGCTTTACTGCATATTATGTAACACGGATAAATACAATTTCGTGACATGATATATATTTATTTTATACATTTTCTATTTTTTAAGCTACTAGTTAAATAGTGTCCACAGTCACTGACCAAAAGTAAATATTCCGATACTAAAATACTATTAACTCATCATTAGTAGAACGATCATTACAACACAATATGCATTTATGCGTACAAGGTTAAATATAGGTCTATATAATGATTTCTTCTGTGGCACATCATTATTGCCAATTGATTTGCTGACTTTGAAATGAATTTTAACTGACTGGTTTTGTTCCCTTTTCACGGCGACTGCATGGTGACGTCGCCCTTAATTCAGCCTTGCGTAAGTGCACCTGCCAACTTCACATTGTAAAGATTTACATTCTTTTGTATATTGCCTAAACACTCCGGGGAGAGTTTTATGGATCCCAAATTTTGTGTTTTAGCTGCTGCTTGACATTCAAACTTTTCCAAGAAGAGTCGGATCCTGTTGTTTGTGTCTTCAGGAATCTCCGTCTTTCCTTCCTTTTTGTATCGCAGCCACATGAGCGAAGCGTATTCAGGGTCCTTAGGATCGCCAAAATCTAACAGTGTAAATCTGTCGTTGGGTGGTACACGGGTACGGAGCAGTCTCATCGCGTTGAACATCCTTGAAAGGTATTTACTCATCTTGAGGAAGCATTTGTTCAGAGTGGGAACAGGGTCTTGATTGCAGTGGTTGTATTCTTTGTTGGATTCTCCCCAGTTTTCAATCATTGACACCCACAAGTCGTGAGTTGAGAGTGGATTGTTGTATTGTACAAGTCTACCCATTACTTTTAGCTGCATTCCTCCCACTACATGTCGTATGGCGCCGCGGGTGTGATATGCCTCTGCTGCGTAGAGTAAGGCCTCAGCGAGAAAACCTATGATACAAAACTTCATGAATAATATTCAATTATCCCCCGAAGGGGAGGTGAATAGTGGCCCGCAGGAGCGGGCCCTTAGGATTGTGTGTAACACACATTTAGTAGAGAACTCTCATCGTCTTAACTGCGCCGATCTACCTGGCCTACAAAATAGGCGTTTACAAGATCTTGCTACCTTAAGTATAAAGTTAAATATGGTTTGGTGTTAAGTCATCCAAATAGCACGTAAGAAATATGGATTTTCATTTACCCAGATTTAATAGTGTACGTTAATTACGGGAAACATTCTATAAGGTACTTTGGACCACATATTTTGTCTAGATAAGACAGCAAAATCGAGGACAAACCTACCCTAGCTACAATCCTTTAAGTCCAGCGTATGGCGTATTAACCTTGTGGATCTTATAAGTGACAACTGTGGCTCCTGCCTTATTTGTACAATGTAGTTCTTGGAAATTTTTAGAAATATTTTTAGCATTTTCTGTATATTTTAATGGGGATAATTCTGTAATATTTTACTTTTTAACTTTTTATAAATTTTAAATTTTAGAGAATCATAAATTAACTTTTATAAGCTAAAGACATTGACACTTAAATAAAGTTATGTTTATGTTTATGTTTATTATAATCAGTTTATCTTGTCCGCGAGTTTTTAAAAAAGGAAATAACCTGCTTATGAAAACAGATTTTTGCTACTCGGACCACCAATCATCTCTGAAGCGAGACCGGGGAGGAAAATCTCTACCGTCCCCTCCCCCACGTATCCTGACGAGCACATTGGTAAAAGAATGCAATGACAGTGGAAACCTCTCCACAACTGCAACCTTGAGGACAGGAGAAGGGGCCGTTGTAGAGAGGTGGCCGTTATTGGAGGTTCGACTGTAGACTTTTAAAAATTACCTAAATTTTCTGCGTTGTATCCGCCATTGTTTGACATTGTTTCCACGCGCAATTGGTACTGATCGTTATGAGTTTTTCTAAAGTCTTTGAGGGATATGCCTTCAAAGTGTCTCATTGGGCTTTGATTATCCAAATTCTGGAATGCCGCCAGCCAAGAGTTCAGCGAGTCTTTGAATTTTTGACCCATTTCATTAATAGCTCCACTCTTCAAGGCGTCGAAGAAGCCTTTGTTATACTTGAAGACCTTGTAGTAAGCACTGGCCAATTCCTGCATTTTGAAATTCACTGTTTGCTCCTTTTGTGCTACAGAGTTAGCAAACCCAGGTGGGAGCTTTTGAAATATGGAGGGCATCGCAAACTCCAGTGTGAACGCGTAAACATTTGTATCAAAAACAAGCTCTGACGGTTTTCCAAAAGTAATTTCAAAAAAGTCGTTAAACTTCTTCGTCAGAAAACCAGCATCTTTTCCAATTAACCCAACGTCGTAGTCTGATTTACAAGTGGCGCTTCCGTAAGGCTTAGGAAAACATACTCCAGAATCAGGGATCACAAGGCTTATCAGTTTGCCGTAATCATCTCTGACTTCTTGACAAGCAGTCAAACGTGTGCCGCTCTGTTCGTACAGAATATAGGTTACCAAGAGATATCTAGCAGCTGTTATGTAGAGGAGGTTGATGCAGCTCCTAGTCTTTTTGGAGCGATCCCAATCGTTGTTTTTTGTTTGAGTAAAAAATTCCTGAGCCTTTCCAGCAAGTAATGTAAATGCAGTTAATTCTTTGGTTTTTGCAATTAGGGAATTTTCAAAACTCGGTTGCTGGACCCACTCATCTTTTTGCGGGTGTTTCTTGAACTCGTAGTTTTTGACAATTCCATTCTCTATCCAGAGGATGTCTGGATCCAGGTTCAATTGTTGAGTTGACGCTGGTAAACTTAAAAAAAAAAGAAAGAAAAAGTAATTTACGCTGTTTAAAAAATATTTAGATGAACAATAACACCGGGTATAAATAGAGACTCCACCCAAAGGGAGTATCTAGCTTTTTCAACGTTCAGGTATACGAAAGAGTTAATGATTTCTACACGATTTAAACTACATAGAAAAAGGTAGTTATTCATATATTGAAAATAACTTATAATAAAAATATTTCATGGTTAACATCTCTACTTGTAATGCTAGAAGTCCTCCCGTGATGGCGTCCATTTATTTCATTCCTTGGGTTAAGGAAGTATGACTCGAAGAGGTCACATTTTTCAATAGGTGGTATAAGAGAGGGGTTCCCTTTTGTCAGAAATGAGATAAAAAGAAGATGGGAGGTTGAACACCGTGGTGCGGGAGCCGTACAACCCTCCCTTCCCAGGAATTATCGTTCATGAATGATTCAACCGGGGCCGTGAAATTTAACCCAAGGGAAGCATGGAAGATAATACGAGATAGCAGAGAGGAAAAAGCTCCTTTTGTTGATGGGCGAAAATCCTTTCTTTCTCTACTGGGAATTAAACAGCGTTCAGGACGTCATAAATACCACCGATACATAGCATACGTGGTAGCTGATTTCCCCATGGGAGGTTCGGTGTCCTTGTTATCTGAGGTCCATTCCGGATCCCCCTCAGCAGTCTCGGTAGCATCCTTGAACATGGAAACAGGGAAAAGTTCGCTGTCGCAGACCTAGTATGAAAGGCAAAAACATCAGCCTTTTAAAATACAAACTTTGATGAAGAAGAAAGGAAAAGCGTTATGAATTCCCCCAGTTGTAACTAGTCAACAAAGGAAGAATGGGTCGGGTGAATTTCGAGTTCATTTTAAAGTCAACAAGCTCGTGTAAGTCACACGCAAGTCTTAAAAGACCCTGTAAAATTATTTCGTGTGCAAACAGATGCATAAATCAATCAAAATATACTTTCAAATGAAAAAATAATGCCAGCAGAAAAAAGACACAGTGCGTTGTACCATGGCCACTCATAGACATTAGCACGCCTCAGAGGTGTTCATGGACTATCTTTTGACGGCCTCTACGATTAGAACTTAGTGTCTCAAGAGGAGCAACGGTGAGGCAGTGGTGAAAGCCCTTCGCGCACCCAACTAAATCCCGACGTCAACGACAAATACTGAATCTGGTTGAGTTTGTTGTTGGTTCTCTCCTTTGTACCGAGAGGATTTTCTCCGGGTACTCTAATTTTCAGCCCCCTCCTCAAAAGAACAACACTTCCAAATTTCAATTCGTTCTAGACGCACGGACACGTTTAAATGAGTTCTTAAATTGTCCGAAAGATGGATTTCTACTGTCGTGTAGTTTTTATATGCACTCGTACGTTATTTTTACTCGCGTAAAAATAGAGGCAATGGACGGAAGGCCACGCGAAAACGTAAAAGTTGAGCGAGTTTTACGGTTACGCGCGACCTTTCGCACATCGCCTTTAATTTATGGGCGTAAAATTTACGTGCGCGCGCACATAAAAATTACGCAACAGTGGAAATTCCCCCTAACTGTTTCATAGGTAAACAAAATTGTAATTTAAGCTCATAAAAATAAATGGAATCACAATATCTCTTACCACACTTCCTCCAACCAGCAATATGACAAACAAGGTACTCAGAATATTCACCATATCGTTAATTTCCTGAAAACTGGCCATGCAGAAGAAGCTTAACTAAAGATCGTTTATCCCCTTTTTCGCAGTTTTTTAATCATCACTAAAGCCATTCATCTCTAACTTTTCGAAAGTATCAAAAGTAGTCCTTCCCAAAAGAACGGGGTCTCAAAGAACAGTTTTATGAGCTGATCGTTTTACTCATTTTAATGCCAAGAATATTTAAACAAAACACTATCCCATCTGAACAAAAGAAGATTATCTGTAGAAAACACAGCGTTTAAAAGAGAAGCAACTAATATCCAGATGTTTGGAAATAACTAAGCTAGACTTTTTAAAAACAGTTTATTCACTTATCGGCAAATGCCGGGCAAGATACAATAATTAGGCCATCCGCAAGTGATTCAATATCGCTCGTGGAACTTGTCTCATGACCAACCTGGAGGCCAGCAATAAAATCTGTTTCACTGCTTCGAGACTGATAACTATATTCAATTGGGCAACAAGCTTGCTAATGCTTCTCAAGACTAACATTAAACTGCCAAATGATTTCGTTAATTGATATTTTCATGCATGAACATTGAGTTCAAATTCAGGACCCCCAATGAAATAACATCGTTTCTAAAACTAGTACTACCAATTTAGGTGTCACCACGCAAAAAAGGGGTCAAATACCTTTCTAAGTGGCACAGCAAAGCCGAATGATCGTTTGATTGAAGAACAAATCTGCAAATTCTCTTCAATCAGGAAAGGCCACGCGGTATTCGGTAAAGCGCTTGTCGTTGTCTTTTTATTTAAGAAATTTCTAACCGAACAAAGCATTTTTTTGCTTCATAACGGCCACTTAGATAGACTGACCACAAGCAATTAAGTCATTAGCTCATCGTGGCTAGAATACGCCATTGGAAAATGCAATTTCTCAACATAAAATATTTCATGGAGACCTCATTTCTTCACACTAGCTCTCAAAATAGAGAGGAAAAAAACATTTTCCTTAAGCTTTTTTTAATGTTTTTGTTCTTTCTACCACGGATCAATATAACAAAACATTTACGAGTGTAATTTATTTACAAGTGTAGCATTGTTTTTAGCGTCTAAAAACAATAGCTACACTTGTAAATTACACTTGCAAAAATTTTATTGAATTGACCCGTCCCCAGTTTAACAAGTTTACCCGCTTGTCAAACTTTAATTAGGGCCTGTTTACATGGAGTGGGGGACCCCGGTCTAGTGGGGTAAGTTTCTTTTGTTTTGTGTCCGCCAGAGCGTGTAAACAGGCCCTTAGTGATTCCATCCTGCAGAGTCAATAGCTCGAAAGCTAAGCTCCTCTGAACACCGCACACTTCTATCCAAGCCATTAATTTTCTTTTTTCCTTTTTCTTCTTCTTTTTTATTAGTGTATTCCTACCTTACTATGTATAATGTAAATATTTTATAGCAGTGTCAATAAAATTGAATTGAATTGAATTGAATTGAATTGGCCAGCCCACAGAAGCAGAAGCGACTCCGGCTATGAAAGCCTTTTGTTTGGCATGTTGTCATGCTCTGCACTTAGCGTTTGCTAACCTTTAAATGACGACATTTCCAACAGGAGGTGGCGAAGGTATTTTATATCCGTGTAAAATGAAAGATGGCCACAATGCACCATTAAGTAAAAGAAATATCTCAACACAAGGTATCTTATAATGAACAAATTTCTTAAGTTGCACTAACATCCAAAACAGAAGGAGAACTATTTTGCGCCATTTTTAATGATCTCTTGAATCAAGTTTCAAGATTTTTATACTAACTTAGTTTTAACCAGTTCACTGAGACTATTCACTCGTCAATTGATAGTTAGCGGGTCGTGTAAGGCCAATAAAGACTGGCCACCAATTACAAATTTTGAATAAGTTGTTCAAAAACCTTTTTTAATTATTTTTATTTTCAGGAGAGAGGAGGAAGGTACATGTTTGTTACACTTTGTAAACAGTCTCTGAACCTTTTTCAATAGTCTGGTCTATTTTTTTCTTTTTTACCAATGTTATACTCTCTAATTTGCCAGCCTGTATATATTTAAGGGCAACGAAGTGCCTCGCGTGTGTACTGACGTCCCTTGCACGGTTTCTCCTTTTAATTTTTTTTAATTTTATTTTTCTCATATATACCTTATTCTTTTCTTTTCTTTTTTAACCGAGGTTTACACTGTAACAATAAATCCTTTAAAAAGCTTAGTGCGAGTTTACTCAGACAAACCCAAAACTATGACACACTGCACAAAACATTTTTCAAACGAGCAAAGGTTTCAGGCTGCTAAAACTCGCGATGATCCGAGCTAGAATTTGCTTAAGTAGCTTACAGTTTTTTTGCTGGGAAAGTTCCCATACAGTTGAACAGCTTTATCTCTTCAGCAAAAAATTAGCAGGTAACTAAGTCTTCCTGCAAGCTTATTGTTAAAATTTTGTGTTTTTTCTCATCAAGTTTAGTGGTTCTTAACTAATGACCATGTCGGAATTCACACGGTGGATTGTTTTCATTAAGTACAGTTTGAATTTTCTCAGTAAATCAGAAAGAAAAAAATTTTCCTCTTTGTTAAGGAAACAGTCTTCCTCGGTGTAGTCTTTGATGAACATCTGTCTTGGAAACCACACATTTCTCAAGTAGCTCTTAAAATCTCGAAATCAATAGGAGTCATTAATAGAGCAAGATTTTTTTCTAAACCCTGTCTAAAAACTCTTTATTATTGTTTAGTTTATCCTTATCTTCATTATTGTATTATTGTCTGGGGATCTACGTACAAAACCAGTCTTCGACGTCTTGTCTCTTTGCAAAAGCGAGTTATCAGAATTATTTCTAAATCAACTTTCGATTCTCATTCAGACCCTATTCTCAAAGAATTAGAGCAATTAAAACTTTCCGATATTAGACAACTAGAATTGGGTAAACTTATGTTTTCTCTTAACCATTCTCTTTTGCCTTCAAAGTTCAACAATTATTTTTCTTTAAACAAACAAGTCCATAGCTATGTCACTAGATACGCGAACGATTTTCACCTTCCGTTTTGTAGAACAAACCTTCGTAAATTTTCTGTCAGTTTCCAAGGACCTACTTATTATAACTCTATAGAAAATGATATTAAAGAATCTAATTCTCTCCACGTATTCAAAACGAAATTGAAAAAAAAATTATATACGAATTATTAGCTATAAATCTTGTAGTAAGTAGTCATCTTTCTTCACACGTCTGATATTATTTTTATACTTTTTGTTACATGTACCATACTTTATATTTTGTCAACTCAGTCTATGTAATTAGTTAATTTATACTTAACTTCATTGTATTTTACTTTCGATCCTGGCCTTACTGTTACTGTTAACTTTATTTTTACTCTGAGGGAGCCCAATGTCTATAAGCCTCATGGTTTCTTTTTGGGCTTCCTCGCCACTTTCATTTGCATTTGTGTAACTGCCTTGTTTTATCGTTATTTGTATTTTGTGGTAAATCAAATAAAGTTAAAGCCTAACAGTTAAAGTCTTTTCTTTCCTCTTTTTTCACCGTTCATTAACAAACCTTTACAAAAAAACTATTCGAGAAGCAAGGAAAAGATTTAACGGCTCTTGAGTTTGAAAGTATTTGTGACTTATCAAATCCGTTTTAAAAAACTTTTGATATGTAATTTTACTAATATTCTACACTTTTTCCTGCTTCAAGAATTACAAAGTGTCCACAGTAACAAGGATAAACATTTTGTTGTGATTAATATTATCATTTTTTATTGGATTCGCCTCGGAAAAGGTATATAAACGGTAGAAGACCATTTTATAAGACCATATGGTTAATATATGGTTAATATGCATAACTGCGTAGGAGGTTAAATAAACGTCATTATAATGGTATTATTTTTCTTTAGTGCGGCACATCATTGTTGCCAATTCATTTGCTTATTTTTGAAAGGTTTCTTTCTTATTTTCTACGGTGATTTTATGGTTACGTCTGTAGCAAGTGCAGCGGCCAACTTTACATTATAAGCATTTACAACGTCATGTATTTTGCCTAAACACTCTGGAGAGAGTGGAATGTTTCTAAAATCTTTTGCCTTTCCTCTTATTTTACATTTAAAATTGCCCAAAAAGGATTTTATCATACTGTTTTTGCTTTCAGGAATCTCCGTTTTTCCTTCCTTTTTATATCGTAGCCACTCTCCCGCTGTGGATTCAGGGTCATTGGGAGTTCTAAATTTTAACAGGAAAAATCTCTTTATTATTGGTAGACGGGAACGGAGCAGTCTCATCGCGTTGAACAAAAGATATTTGCTCATCTTTAGGAGGCACTTGGTCAGAGGGTCTTGATTGCAGTGGTTGTATTCTTTGTTTGACTCTCCCCAGTTTTCAATCATTGATACCCACAGGTCGTGAGTTGAAAGTGCATTGTTGTTTTGCCCGCCTATCGACTTCAGCTGCATTGCTCCGACTACATGTCGGATGGCGCCGCGGGTGTGGTACGCCTCTGCTGCGTAGATTAATGCCTCGGCGAGAATACCTTCAAGGCAAAAGTTCATTAATTCTCTATGTCCTAATCGCCTGAAAAACTGGGTATGATATGCGACCACAATGTTTCTTGGGATCGCTTGGAGGGAGAGAATAATAGCGCACTACAATTACTGTGTTCCAGGCTTCAATAACAGTTTCAGAAATGCAATTTGTCTTCACGTCTATAAAATTCTTTACGATCCAGGCACATAAGGTCTGTCTTCTTCTGGCATAGAGCGTAAATAAGTCGCTTGCTGTCCGCCTTCTGTTTTCTGTCCCTCCAAACGATCCCTAGGGCATTTGCGATCATAAGTCGTACCAATTCCCCGCTCGTTTACAACATGGCCAATTAAACCGTTTATCGAGTAAACCATGAAGGAGAGACTATGAGTGAACTATTTGTATGCGTGGTCAAGGTTCAGGCTCTAGTCTTGGTCATTCTACTGTATTGGGAAAAAGAGAGCGTTTGTCGCAATCTTAATGCAACCTGACTTAACCCTCTGGATAGCTCTCGATGGCTATACTACAACAGATGGTAAATGTCACATTAAAAACTATTTGACTGAAGTTGGCAAGTTGAAAGAATAAGGAGTAGACATCGCAACACCCTTAAAAAGCCTGATTAGTGATTAAACGGTGTACTGATCACGCGGCAACCACTAGCCAGAACATTTCGCATACGCTTAGGTGGGTCGGTAAAAGGTCAGGACTGAATCTGAAAAAACAGAAGTCATTAAGTCATTAAATTAACTGCAGTGTTTCCCTTTCATGTTCACCTAAGTGCTACTATATCGCTCACTCGTTATGAATTAATAACAAAAGAAGAATAAGTAATTACCTAAATTTTTAGCTTTATATCCGCCATTTTTTGACATCTTTGCCACGCGCGTTTGGTACTGTTCATTATGTGATTTTCTAAAGTCTTTGAGGGAATTGCCTTTTACGAGCCTCATTCCATGTTGATTATTCAATTTATTAAATTCCGACAGCCAATAGTTAAGCCGCTCTTTGAAAGTTTTTTTCATTGCTCTCTTAGCTTTATTCGCCATCGTGAGAAAGAAGCCTTCGTTATATTTAAAGACCTTGTAGTACGCACTGGCCAATTCCTGCATTTTGAAGTTCACTGATTGCTCTTTTTGGGTGATAAGATCAGCAAACCTAATTGGAAGACCATGAAATATGGAGGGCATGGAGAATTCCAGTGTCAAAGCGTAAACATTTGTATCAAAAACAAGCTCTGAAGGTTTTCCAAAAGTAGTTTGAAAATAGTTGTTAAACTTCTTCGTTAGAATACCAGCATCTTTACCAATCAGCCCAACGTCATAGTCCGATTTACAAGTGGCGCTTCCGTAGGGCTTAGGAAAACATACTCCAGAATCAGGGATCACAAATTTTTTCATTTTGCCGTACTCTCCAACTTCCTCACAAGCAATCAACTTTTTACCGCTTTGTTCGTAAAGAATATGCGTTACCAAAAGATATCTAGCGGCTGTCATGTATAGGAGGTTAGAGCAGCTCTTTTTGTTTTTTGAACTTTTCCAATCAATATTAATTTTAAAGAACTTCAGAGCTTTTAAAGCGACTTTTCTAAATTTGGCGGTTCCTAGATCATTTTCAAAGGATGGTTGCTGTTTCCATTCATCTATTTCCGGGTCTTTCTTGAAACCGTAGGGACCAACAATTTCCTCTTGTATCCATATGATATCGGGGTCCAGTTTCAATTGTCGAGTTGAGACAGGTGATCTATTTAAAATGAGAACAAGGAATGGTAATTGCACCATTAATAAAAGATTAATAATAGTTTTTAAAGTGCATTTATGTCTATGAAGTCAGTCTCTTTTCCCAAGATAGTAAATCAAATTGAGCAACAAACGTGAGAAAATGATAATCTGGGCAGTGGGGAGGTTAGAAAAGTACCAACAAATCCTTGCAACGGAAAAACCCAGAATAAAAATAATTCCATAGGAAAAAGTATAGAAATATATTCCTGCATTGACCGTCCTAAGTGTCCCGGATGAATCTGTTGGCCAATCAGTTTGAGGAATGTACAGAGCGGAAGTTCAACAAAATATTTTTAATCTGGAATTTATTTTGAAGGACTCGGTGGAACAGGTCTGATGCTATTCAAAACTCTCTGAGTGTCTGTAAATTAACGGAGGTTTAACGTCACCTATAGTGCCTCAATGCTTCCGTCTATTAACGCCATCTCACGGGAGTACTTCTAGCCTGCGTCAAAAGAGGTCTTTCATCCCTTTTTGCCTGCATGCAGATGTCTCCTATTTCCTTTGTTGCGCGCCGAAAAAGGTCGCATTTGGTGGTATCGCAAGAGATCACACGTAAGCGAGGGAAGAGAAAACGAAAACCTCGGGCTTCGCCACTCGCTTCTCCGCTCGTCGCGGGCCTCGTCTCTCTTCGCTCACCACTCTAAATGGGTAACTTGCTCGCACGCTAGGTGACAATTTGAATGGAAGTGATATTTGACCGCCATAAAGGATAATCGTCTTCTGCAGATGGGCGGAATGACACTACTACAAATACATAACTTACGCGATAGCTGATTTTCTCATGGGAGATTCTGTATCGTTGTTATCTGAGGAAAATTCTGCCTTCCTTTCGGTAGCATCCCCGAACATGGAAACGGGGAAAAGCTCGCTCTCACACATCTGTCATGTAATAAGGAAAAAACAAGATATTTCAGCTGCCAGCTTCAATACAGTTAGCACCTTTAAAACATCTGTTTGGCATCGCGGTATAGTAGTATAGTAGGGACCGAACTATCCTCTTATGAGGGAAAATCTCACACATTTCAGAGGAAATACGCTACCCAGTCAGAGTAGTCAATCGTTAAAAATCGGTAGCAGTTAAATGATTTTTTCGATGAAAATCGATATACTAAATTGCTGTGTCAAATCGACATTATCGTATTATCATGATTTTAACGATTTATAACGGAAGCCCACCAATGTTGTTTTTCTGGCATGAATTAGATGGTACAGCTGAGCAGACACGTTAACAAGTCACAAATGATCAACAAACATGAAAATGAGAAATGTGGAAACTTTTACACACATACAGGTTTCTCTCTAAAACCCTTCGATTCAAAGGGATTTCGATTTCAAAGGAAATTTAGGCTAAAAGAATTCTCTACATTGATTATTTACCGTTTTCCGTTGTTAATCGATAAAAATCACCTGATTGTCATCGATTTTTATCGACTCACTACTACGTGATGTAACTACGCCCGGAATTACACCGACATTATTTTGAAAGGGTGACGGATCTTAATCGTGAAAACTGGTCGCCTACAAAACTACCAATATCAGCCATCAGAAAAAATGTTAAAGTGAGAATTGCTTGATCCTTCGACTTTCAATTGCAACTCAATGTTCAATAAATTTACTGTTTGCAAGGACTCAGTTCTCAGTTTTTTAATGAGCAGATGAACAAATGTATTGTTTGATCGTTAGAGTTTCAATTGCAACTTAATGTTCAATAAATTTACTGTTTGCAAGGATTCCGGAAGGATAAACAAATGTGCCCTTCTATATGATATCGATAAGCCCGGTGCAAACGGACGTAACATTGTTGGCCAGCCAACAACCCCCAACATTGTTGGATGTTACATGTTGCGTCCGTTTGCACACCCTCTTGCATGCTGATACGTGTTGTTGGGAGTTGTTTCTCAAAGTTTGAAACCGGTCAAACTTTTTGCTACGTGCAAACGGACGCAACAACTCCCAACGTAGCCTGTGTACAGACGTCCCCCCTCGAGGGGGGACGTCTGTACACAGGCTACTCCCAACGCCGTTGAGAGTTGTTGCGTCCGTTTGTACGTAGCTGTAAAATCGGTAAAAATCTAGTTAATTTGTGAACGAAACGAGTGTGTCATCGATTTCTACCGATTGATCGATACAACTGATATCAATCAGATCCGATTTACCGATTTTTATCGATTTATCGATTGACTACTCCGGGTACACTAGCGCCGATGACTCATTATTGAGTGGAGTGATGTGGGTGGAGAACAAAAAATTAATTGTAGAGGGGAAGGAATGGGAGAGGGGTAATTATTAATTATTAATTTGCACGATTTGTACGTCAGAATCCGTAAATCAGAACTGCAACAAATTGATGTCTGCAATGGACAGTGAAAGTAGTAGACAACAAAACTTGCATCATTACTTTACAGACCAGTGATATTGAATTAAGGCGTGTTAATGATTATTCCTGGAAAAGTTTCAGTACAAGAAACTGGAGGTCATGCAGCCGAGGATCATCATGAAACAAATCCAGGTGGTGAATAAATCATCCTGGATCAGTCCAAATGAATTTTCACAGTCGTAATCGATTAATACAGTCTATAATGTATTAGTGCAAAATAATAAGGGGGAAGGGGGCTTATTTGAGGGGGGGGAGCGTAATGGAGAATTTACGGTAATCCAAGAGCCATAGTGTCCCATTATGACTCCTAATCCCCATTATTTCTTTTGGTAATATAAGTAGCAAATTTACAATTATTTTCTTCCCGTCGTGTGCGGGGAAAAAAGCTTGTTGAGAATCCTGCGTTAGTCACTACTAAAGCACTCCAATATCTGCCAATCTGGGCCAGGTAGTTCAAAGCTTGGTTAAGATAACCCAGGGTGAGTGTCAAATTTGAATTCAGATATGATAGCTGAAAAAGAAAATTAGTTTGATACATTTTGTCTACAATTTGATGACTGGATGCTCTAAAAAGTAAGGAAAAGTTTATCCAAGAAAATGATTTTAAGCAAAAGAGAGAGGAACCCAGGTTACAATTTAACACCGGGTTAACGCTGATAGATCGGCCTTCGAACAACTGGGCCCAGAGGTGTTCACGGATTATCATTTGAAAGATTGGATGTGCGTGCTACTTAGAGTTCTCAGCTAAGGAAGATTTAGAAAATCGCTTACCACACGTCCTTGAACCAGCAAAGTAAAAAACAAGGTACTCAAAATGTTCAACATGTTTCAAGTTCCTGAAAATTAAAAAAAAAAGAAACAGGAAATAAGTTTAAAGTTTTCGGGCCAATGCAAGGTTTCAAGCCAAATATAACACAGTTCATTTAGGTATAGATAAAACAGCTAGCTCCAGATAAGTTAAATTCCGAACTGGACACATTCAGTAAGGAAAAATCCAGAACCTAACCCTCCGACTGAGATACTGAACGCAGACAGCAAAGATTCCTTCTTCTACTTTCCAAGCAGAGAACCTGAAACAACCATTAAATCACTCTCGGATTTACATCAACAGTTACACAGGAAAGTTATTTATTAATTCTTTTTTTTTTTCGTTTCACTGTTATTAGTGTTTTAATCTACTTAGAAATTTAACATAATAAAAGGTCTAGTATGACAAGAATTTAGTAGATTCCTTAAGTGGTAAAATTATTTCATTCTGATGTTTCTCTCTGATTTCAGGGACACCCAACGACGGTTTCCTCCTAAATACATTGAAAACACTTTTTGGGCTATTCAAAGTCGTTGTGGATCTCTAGAAATGTATTCTAAGCGGCGCTATAAAATTTGTATCTGTTTTGTCATCCTGAAAGAACTTGATGAGTCTTTTCTAAATTACAAGGGCTTCAGTATTATTTTCCCGAAAATTTTACGTACAATTCAACGTATTACGAAAGTGCTAATTTTTTTTCGAATCCGAATATTTTAGGCTTCCTTTTTGCTACGAAAGATAGCTTAACCTGGGGAGTGAAATGTGAAAAATTAAACTTCAGAGAATCGTAGTGTGACGATAGGATTTGCTCTTCCAAGTACAAATCGGGGAAATAAGCGTTAAGAGAATTCGCCGAGCGACTTCGGCGTATGAACAACAAGAGGGAAAACTAACTCTGCAGCTCGCTTGGCTAGCAAGACTGGAACTCGTCACTGTTCCACGGTACTAGGATCTGATACAAATGGAAACAGTACGGCACTCAAACTTGGACTTCAACAGTTTAATCTTCAGCTCGTGGACGTAAATCATACACAGTGCATGTGCATCCAAAATGTAAATCATCCATGTAAATCCGCAATGTAAATGGCAAACAGCTGGGATACTGAACGGTGCTCTATTAATACAGACCGATCAACTTATTACAACATCACAAAACAAATGGAAAGAAGGCTGAATAAAATCAGCTGAACACTGAAAACAAATCTGGAGAAATTGAGCTTTAAAGTTTATATTCTAAACTTAATGACTCAAATTTAAATGCCAGTCAAGGAAGTTAATTTCGGAAACTTACAAAGATTTAGCAGCAAAGCTGTGCAAAAGAATTCGCGGAGTTTCCTTTGCTCAGGATTTCTTAAAATGACAAATTAAAAACTACGAACGGTTGATATTTGAACAGGCGAAAGATCCAGTTATTCAGTGACTAAGCTGTGTAATTATTCAGAAACTAATTATCCTATTAAAAGTCAACATTGAAGTGAAATGTGTATAATTTAAAATAACTAAAACATCTCAACGCAAATTCAATGGAAATTACGGCTAAAAGAACTTCAAAGGGAATATTTAAAAGCAGTAGGGAATTTTTTACATAACCTTCGAAAATTGTACATAAATGAAATGGTAATCCAAAAATTTTCAGCCGTCCTCAAGTAACAGAAAAACCTAGCCAATGATTGGTTCTCCGAACAGATGTTTTATCGAAAACAGTCGTAGGGTGCCCCTGAGATTTGAAAGCCATCGGAATGTATGAATAGTTATCTCTTTCACAGAGACCCTTTCTGAATGAACTAGATCGATAGAGTCATTCACAATAACCAAGAGCGTCGAAAGAGGGCGCCGGAAAAGAAAGGGTACTTAGCGACCCTCGCACGCTTTCTTTCCTCCATTCAAAACAGGGGCACCCAACGTCAATTTTCGGAAAATATCTGTTCTGAAGACTATTTGAGATCTAGAATTTTCGGAACATTTTTTGTAGAATTCCTTGCTTGCCTGCCTCTCCTAGGATTTTCGAACGTCTAAAAAATGGTATAATTGCCCATTTTTAACGGATTTTTACCCTAAAAAAGTTACCTATAATTTTCGGGAGCCTTTTTTCTGGCTGAAATTTTCGAAAAGGTAAGTTTTGATCACTATAATTTTCGGATACTAGAATTTCAGCTAGGAAATTCGAACAGATTTAAAAAAAAAATTAGGGGATAAAAATATGCCAATATCCACCGTTTAAATACTAAAATACGTTTAACAAGGCTATGTTTAGTGGTTTTGAACTATATTCTCGTTGGGCCCCTGTCGAAAGTCTTCCAATGGTTCGTGGAGACCTACATGCGAAGAAATTAAGATAAATCGTGATGCTACTGGATCACATTTTTGTTAATTTAGATTTTTAAATTACAAAGTAACTAAACGTTGTTCAAGATCCACAACACTCAAAAGAATGCAGAGGTATTCCGCGTTTCTTTGCCATGGCAATCATTAAAAATTTTTGACAAAAGGATATATCTGTCTATACAAACAAATACTAACGCTTTCGGAGTGTTCAAAGTTATAGAATAAAGAGCTGCCCTACCTTTCCAATCTAAGGAGAACGGCAATGCTAAATAAAGTGCTGTAATATATGATGAATATTTTAGAATACCTCTATTAAGAGGTCAACCTATAAAAGGAGGCCACCTAAGTGGATATATTGGCTGTTTAGTT